GCCTCTTGGGAGCTTCTGGTGGGCGAGGGCTCGAAATGTCAGTTCGTGTTCCCCATCTGGGGCTCCTCTTGGAGTGTTCTGGGAGCTCTTTTGGGCAGTCTTGGAAGCTTCCTGGGCCGTCTTGGGGCCCTCTTGGGCTGTCTCGGTGGTCTCTTGGGGGCCTCTGGGCTCGTCTTGAGGCGATCTTTCGGGCCTCTTGGGCCGCCTTGGAGCGTCTGGAAGCAGAACTGGGGAGAACGCCAAAACTCTTCAAAACCCACTAAAAACCAGTGACAAATTCCTATTGGGCCCTTCCCGAGAGTGCTGTCGGAGACCTGCTGGGGGACGCTTTGGCAGCTTTTTAACCGTCTTGGAGTGCTCCCGGGCCGCTTCGGACCTCTCTTGGGCTGTCCTGAGGGCGTCCTGGAGCCATTTTAGAGGGTCCTGGGAGCGTCATGGCGTCTCCGGCGGGGGGGTGACCACAGCCACTGGGCAAAGTGAAGGTCCCCCCTGGTCCAGGACCCCCTCCCCATTTATACATATATATACACACACATACATGTATACACATATACATATATACACATATACATATGTACATATGTACATATATACATATATACATATACATATACATATACATCTACATAAACATATACATATACACATACATATACATATACATGTACATATACGTGTACATATACCTATACATATACATATACAATTACATTTACATATACATATACATATACATATACATATGCATATGCATATACATATATACATACATATACATATACATATACATATACATATACATATACATATACATATACATGTACGTATATACATATACATATACATATACATATGCATATGCATATACATATACACATACATATACATATACAAATACATTTACATATACATATACATCTACATATACATATACATATACAAATACATATACATACATATTCATATACATATTCACATACATATACATATACCTATACATATACCTATACATATACGTATAAATATACATATACATATACATATACATATACATATACATATACATATACATATACATATACATATATATACACACACGTAACACATGTGGGATTGTGCACACAGGAGAAGGACAATCGATAGAAACATACGTACGTCGTCCAAGGCGCCTCGGAAGGCGCAGAATACTCCTCCAAGGCGCGGAATCATGTTCCCGGACCGCCTTCCGGGAACATGATGGGGACGACCTCCTTAGGGCCTCCAGTGGGCCTCTTGGGGCCCTCTCGGAGGCCTGTTGGGCTCTCCTGGAGGCGTCTTGGGGCGCGCTCAGGGCCATTTTGGGGCATCTTGGGGGCCTCTGGGGGCCTCCGGGGAGGCTCTTGGGGGCCTCTTTGGGGCCTCTTGGGGCCTCGCGGGGCCCTCTTGGGGACCGCTGGGCTCGCTTAGGCAGTCTTGAAGCCCTGTCGGGGCACTCCTGGAACCGTCTTGGGCGGCTCCTGGGCCATCTTGGGGCTCTCCTGGGCCGTCTTGGGACGATTTTGGGGTCTCTTGGGCCGTCTTGGGGCGGTCTTGGGGGCCTCTTCGGCCGTCTTGGAGCGGTTTTGGGAGACTCTTGGACGGCCTTGGAGCGTCGGAACCCCGAAAAAGCGAGAAGGCCAAAAACCTCTGAAAAAAAATAAAAATCAACGATTTTGGCTTGTCGGGGCTCTCTTGGGAGGCCTCTTGGGATGCCTTCGGGGCCTCATTGAGCTCTCTTGGAACGTCTTCGGGCCTTCCTGGCCATTCCTGAGGCTATCTATGCGCGTCTTGGAGCGCTCGCGGGCCGTCTTGGGCGGTCTCGAACTGTTCCTGGCGGTCCCAGGGGCCCTCCAGGACGCTTCGGACGCTCCCGGGGGCGCCCTGCACCCCCCATGGAGATTACTGGCAGCGCCCCGGGCCGCCCCCGGGCCCTACTCCGAGATATGTGTATATATATATATATATACACACACACACATCGAACGAGAGAGAGAGAGAAACAAACAAAACAACAACAACAACAACAACAACAACAACAACAACAACAACAACAACAACAACAACAACAACAACAACAACAACAAAAGAGAGAGAGAGAGAGCCAGAGAGAGAGAGAGAGGCGAGAGCGAGGGAGAAAGAGAGATGGTGTGTTTTGTTATCCTGCCCCGTGGGCCTCTCGAGCCCCACACAAAGAAATAATTCATCCCGAACTGTTTTGGACTGTCCCTGACAAAGAAAATGGCCCTTGGGGGACGAGGAACTCCGTCATGATGTTGAAGGCGTCGGCGGTCTGAGCCCAGTCTCCCCCGACGCCTCATCCCACACGGCAAGTCCAGGTGGCGCTGCTGGTGGCGCGCTCGCCGCGTGGCATCTGTGGCCGCCACAACGCGCGCACCTCAGATGGGGTGCTTGACCGGTGGGTAGTACAGTCGGGGCATCTTGCCCACGTAACGGTCGCTGTCGACCTTCGCTAGGTTCACGTCACGAGGACTCGGGCGCTGGCTTCTGACAGCGCGTGGATCGCTCAACGTGGAAAGATCGCGGCTTTCCGACAACGCAAATCGGCCGATACCGGATGTCGGCCGATTCTGGGCCACTGGCGGCGTTCAACCTTGGAAGCCCGCGCGAGGGTCGCCGCCACGTCCACGCGGCGCGAGCCTACAATTTCCCCGAGGAGACACCATCCCACCCTCCTTGGCGCCAGCGACTTTTCCAATGAGGGGTCTGCAACAAAGCGACCCACGCGACAAGACATCACTTCCCCATGCGTACTCCCTACACCTCTTTAAACGTTTCTAAGCCGCGCCAAAGTTGTAAGACCGCCTGGGGCGGCGCGGAGGGACCAACGGTGGCGTAGGCTGACTGAAATGGTTTACAACAAACTCCTCTGTTTGTTTTCTGTTGCCCGTACATATTCAGGTCATCGGCCATGCGAATTGGAATTGATGTAATGTAATGCGGGGTATAATGTTGTTCGCGCTTTCTCTCGCTCTCTCTTTCTCTCTCTCTCTCTCTCTCTCTTTCTCTCTTTCTCTCTCTCTCTCTCTCTCTCTCTCTCTCTTTCTCTCTTTCTTTCTTTATTTCTTTATTTCTCTCTCTCTCTCTCTTTCTCTTCTCCTTCGCACTCGCTCTCTTTTGTGTATAATATCTCTGTCTCTATTTCTCTCTATGTAGATATACACCTGTATTACAAGAAGTGCGCCAGTGGATCCCCCTGAATACACTAAAGGGGGGGGGGTCCAGAACCCCCCCCCCCCTCCCCCCCTTCAAGGGGGGTCCCGAACCCCCCTTCCCCCTCTCCCCCCTTTAAAGGGGGGCGGGGTTCCCGAACCCCCCCCCCCCTCCCTTGACTGAGATTGCAGGTGTATGTTTGTTTAGAGTGTTCTCAGATGCAGTAGCAGCAGCTCAGTGTGATGGATAGACAGCAAGGTTTTCCGTACTGAAACGCTTTGGCTTCAAGGAGCGGGTTTCGCGCGTTCATAGACTAAACATTTCAGTTTGGTAGCGGAGCCTGGAGTCCGGCTCCAGGCTTCCGTCCTGCCCATCTCGCCAGGGCATCGCGGCGCCATATCTGCTGCCGCCCCGCGCCGCCAGGCGCGCTGCTTCACCACGGTGAACCACAGCCATCGCATGGACATCATTACCGTGCCACTGATAATCAAGATTATCTTCGTGAATATCCTCAGTTGGCTTTCATTTTCACCCCTCGTGATCCACCAGGACTTCGAGGATCACGACTCCTTCTATTTCCACAACGACTTCTCGATGGCGGCTGGTGGTCAGGACTGGAAGCTCCCGAGCACGCTTCCCGAGTTCACGAGGTATGTTCCACCCGGCTGGAAGCCGGGATTGCCAGACTACAGCTTCAAACAGTTCCAAGAGCGTCTCCATCTGTGGTGGCGGATCACCCCAGCTCAAGAAGAAGAGGCTGGTACGTTGGTGGCGAGTAGACTCCTGGACAAAGCTTTCGAAGTGGCAATGGGCCTACGGATCACTCGAAATGGCGTGGTCCACACTGGCGACGGAGCACTGGCTCTGGCCAAGCAAGAGCAGCAGGAGGACCCAGACGGCAACATCGTGCAGGAGGCCGACCTTTCGGGCATCGGACACCTTCTCAAGAAACTAACGGAGTGCTTCGAGATTCACGATCAGGATCGTCAGGGCGAGCTGCTTGACAAATTCTATGACACACGCAGAGGCACGTCATCATTGCAGGACTACCTCATGAACTTCAAGCAACGGCATCAGGAAGCGGAGTCTCGAGCACAGCTTAGCATCAGCTTGACCAGGCTGACACATCTTCTCTTCAAGTGGAGCGGCCTGCAAGCTCGCAGGATCGCGGACATCAAGCTACACCTCGGCGGCGACCTTGACAAGTTCAACGAGATCTACAGCATGTCGAGTCGGATCGCAAAGCAAGAGATGGCAGCCGGTCACACACATCATCAACATTCTCATTACACGGAGGAATTGGACATGGAGCTGGACGATCAACACTATCAGCTAACATACAATATGGACGACGACTGTGAGGACTCAGAGGTAGACTTCGTATACGACGAGGAGACCGATCTTCATTATAGAGAGTTCTACGTTCTACACGGAGTCATGCGACTGGGCGTACGGCGCCTACGACGGTTACTGGACATGGTATGAGCAGGAGGAGATCGAGGCATACCTAGACGAGCTTGACCTTGCCGAAGCGTACCAGATGACCGGCTTCCGACCGAAGTGGCGTTTCCGAGAGGACGGCGTAAAGGCAAAGGCAAAGGCAAGAAAGGCAAAGGACGAGGTCGCAGCCCAAGCAAGAACAACACGGGCAAGACTCGCAAAGGCAAGGGCAAGAGCACCTCCAACCACGACGCACACTTCGGCGGAAAAGGCGGAAAATGGGGCAGAGACAAATCTCAGCACAACTCTGGTTGCAGCATTTGTGGATCGAAATGGCACAAAGACTCAGACTGCCCTGCTAAGCCGAAAGGAGGTCATGGAACTGGCGACGCTAAGACGCACAACACTGGCTTCAGTCGTTATGAAGAAGGCGGAGAACATCATCAATATGTTGCGGAAACGTCTGCTTCGTCAGGGAAATACCCAATGGACCACAAACACTGGACAGCACAGGACTTCGAGGAGCATACTGGCGATTGGAGTGTGCATGGGGCCAGCTCTTAGAACTGGCCTACAAACCCGAAACCCGAAATACACTACAGCACCTAACGTATTTGAACATGTTTTTTGTCATACATGATTTGGCATGGCTTGTATACTATGTGTTGAACAACGCACCCGTCAGCAATTATCTTTGTTACATGCGCATGCAAGCCCGATTTCTCCCATAATTCTTAGAGCCAATGGGGCAGAACGGGGACCATCAAGTCAGAAACCAAACACGCGTTGGACATCGGGGTCGGGGCACATCAAATCGCATGAGGAGGCATCGGATATCGAAGCTCATCGGGTCAAGTGGACCGATGCATGCGGCAAGCCCAGGGCGGCGGCAATCCAGAGAGGAGGGCTAGAATGGGGAGACGGGGAGAAAGACAAGGAGGAGGAGGAGGAGGAGGGGGGGAGAAGGAGGGGGGCGACCAGGAGCAGGGTGGGGGAGGCGGCGGGGGAGGAGGAGGAGGGGGAGGACGTGAATCTGACAAGGACAGAGGGTAAGGAAACCACGTGCTCGTGCGGTTTCACTCTTCATGTTGGCGCCGTTGCCGCCCAGGCTGGGCGGCGCAAATGTCGTGTCCACACGTGCGCAGCGACGTCGCTGCGCGGCTGAAGCTGGCCTCAGGCGCCGCCGCCTGCAGCATCAGACCTCTTTGCAAACGGCACCCGCCGATTGAACTCCCTGCGGTCAGCTGCCACTGGCGAGGCCCGTCGGCCCGCACACCCTTCAGGAAAACCCCGTGAGCTCTCTCCCTTCTCCTGCAGCTCTCTTGCAATCTCACCCGCGGCTCGAGGCCGCCTTGCTGGTGCCAGCGGCGCTGGTCTTGACCTCAGTCGGCTTCTTCGCCTTCGAGGCCAGAGGCTCAAGCTGCTTGACCAGCGCCGCGGGGAGGAAGCTCTTCATCTTCTCGTCGTCGAGCAGCGCCTTCGCGTCAGCGAACTGGCTGTCTGCGCCCTTGTCCTCCACAACCTGGACTGCGATGATCACCACCATGCTCTCCTTCAACGTGTTGTGAATCGCAACCGCGTGCTCCCAGTCCGAGCTCACCGTTTCGTCGTCCTCGATCTTCGGAGTCAGCCGCCAGTCCTCATGCAACGACCTCGCGTCGTCGAGCGCCTTGCCGAGAGCGACCATCGCTGGCTTGATGGCCTTCGGCAGCGCAGGCTTCGTGAGTGTCTTCTTCGCCATGGACGATGCGTAGGTCTTCTCGTTCACGATGCTCCTGAAGTTCGGCGCGAGCCGCTCGTCCCTGGCAGCAGCCTTCGACAAGTTCTGCACCACGGCCCTGAACAGGGCTGACTTGCACCTCGCGGCAACCGTATCTACCGAGTCCAGCCAGCGCTCCATGGTCGGCCAGTCCTGGAACCAAATCCCGTTGACCTCGCTCACGCTCATGAGCTGGATCGCAGACCTCGCAGAGGCCGTTGATGCCGACAGGAGGTCGAATACTGTCTCGTAGAACTGCTTGATTGACATGTCCTTGTCGCACACTTCCGAGGGGCTGAGGGGCTCGACCGTCGTGAAAACAGCCTCGTGTAAGTAGTGAATGATGGCACCCACCTCGTAGAACGAGTTGAACAACCGAACGAAGGCGTCCACGTCTACGGCTTGGACCCACACTTCCGAGTAGCCATTGATCGGCTGGAGGAGCCCCGCCACGTCCAAGTTGTTGGTGCTGCTGTTCAAGAGGTCCATGGCCATGCCACTGAGGATTCCACCGAAGGCAGCGGCACGATGCGTCAACTTCTCAACCGACTCAAGGACCTGCTTCCTTACCGAGGCCAGCTCATCTTTGTATGGCGCGGCGCCGCCAACAATGAAGCTCGCGAGCTGAGACCGAAGTGGGGACTCCTCGTCAGGAACATCAGCAGGCCATCCCAACTCGCTGAGGGGAACCAACTTGGACCACTCAGAATACGAAATCTCGAACATGCCCCTGAGCACCTTCTCTACCTTCACGGGGAAACCAGCAGACCGAGCAAAATCAGGAAACGAGGTGGCTGCAAGTCCGCTGGTCCAGTTGTCGCTGTCGGACCCCAGCCCTTTGAGGGAGCCTGCAAGCCACAGCCACGGGTCGCACCAAGCCAGACGCAGCGCCCAGGGGCCCCATGAACACCTCCCCCCTCCCCGAAGACCACAGCTGCGTTGTTTTTTCCCAAGGCCCGATCAAGGATGTTGAACATCAAACCACGTGCTGCATCTGCCCTGGTGCTAGCTGTGGAAGCCAGCCTGCATGCCGCCCCTGCCTTCGCACTGATACATGGTCTCGTCAATCACCATCTCGTGCGCGAACTTGAACTTGGAGAACGACGCCATCTTCTTGGCGCTGGTCACCACGTTGATCACTGCCTGCCAGAAGACAGGGTCAACAGGGGCATCTCGTTTCCCACCAGTGCCGCAAGCGCTGCTCTTGCTGCCTCCCAGGCGGGCCAAGTTGTTCACAGCGTTGAAGTAGGCCATGGCAACTTCGCGGACGCGCGCGTTGTGTGCGAGGGACGCCTGGAGCAAGATGGCGATGGATCGGCTATCGCCCATGGCATCATCAGGGAAGGCCTTGGTGATCGTCTCGAGGGACGGCATGATGTTGCCCAGACAGCCCCGCTCGAACGTGGGCAACACCTTGTGGACCACCTTTGCGACCAGCTTCTGCTTGCTGCCCAAGACGTCCTCGAACGAAGACTGGTCGAGAGCGTCGCCCTCCACTGCCGAATCAAGCGTGTCCACCAGCGGCGAGAAATGGTCCTGAAGAAGAAGCGCAGCCACGAAGTCGAACATATCCAAGGCGTCCCTCACCAACGTCATGCACTCCAAGACCTTCGGTGCCTGCTCCACTGCACGGATGGGCGACCACATGGCAAGGCACTCCGCAACCAGCTTCAATCCCCTCTCAACCACTTCGACCATCGACAATGTTGCCACCACCTCGGTGTTCCTGATGGTGATGCGGTTGGTGTCGTCCGTTGATGTCGACGGGAATGCAGTCGACGCCATCAACGACATCGCGTCCCTGAGCTTGTCGTCGGCCACGTCGTCCTGGGCATTGCGCTGCATGCTGACTGACACTGCAGACGAGACCTCCTGGCCGATCACTGAATTCTTCATCTTCTTGCTGATGTCCCGCAAGCGCTCGGAAGACTGAACGCCGTCCCTGGCCCATCGCACGATCGACGGGCCTGGTGCTGCCAACTCGGGAGAGACCAAGCGCGTCGCCACACACAGCTGGAAGAGAGAACATATCATCGAGAGCTCGATCACGAATTTGTGCGACTTGAACTTGTCATCGAACGCATTCAACATCTCGTGCGCGCCCGACAGGTCCGCAGAGATGCCCTTCAGCTTCTGAGTGATGTCGTCCTCAGTGGCTGCGCCGTCCTCATCCAAGCCAATGTTGACAAAGTACATGCTAAACAAGTCGTTCATCCACATGTCCAGCGTGTTCGGGTCGGTGGCGTCTGCGACGGCAGCAAACACTGGATCAGCGTTCAGCGCAGTGAGGGTATCAAGGAAGCTCTTTGACTGCTGGCTCAGCTTTAGGTAGAATGCCTTACTGGCGATCAAGATGAAGGACGGGTGCGGCTGCATGTTCATGTCATCACGCAACTTCTTTGCGAGCTCAGGCAACTCTTCTGACATGGCAACCGTGTTGGCGTAGGTCTTAGACTTCTTGAAAGTCCGATGCTGTTTCAAGGCCGTCTTGGCGCCTGTCAGAGTATGTGTCCACCTGTCGATGGTATCGACGAGGTCGCCCCTGGACTCCGAAACGAAAACGATCCTCAGCTGACCCAGCTTGCACAGCAAGGGCGTGATCATCGACTCCTTCGCGACATCGGACCAATTGACCTTGGAGGGCAGCTTGCAACCCCGTCTCTAAGCAGGGTCGGGAGGCAGCGTTGGTCCTGGATCTCAGACTGAGCCGAAGGGTGGGGGATGGGCCAGGGTGGAGTGGTTGCTATACTCAGGGGATGAACGCTGCCCCCCCCCCCCCCTCCTCCTCCTCCAACCTCCTCCATCGCCGTGGCGCCTCCTGCCGCCTGCCTCCCGTCATCCTCCGACGACCAGCCCACCTCCGCCACTTGCCATCCGCATTCGCTCCTCACATCCCTCCTGGATACACCTCCTCCTGCGTTGTACCACGCGCTCACCTGTGAGAACACCTCGAACGTCTTGATGATCGCGGCGAGCTGCGCATCCAGCTTGGCGACCCTCGGGTCCTGCTCGAGAACCCTGCCTGCGGCGCCAGCGCGGATAATCACTGAGTCCGCCTTGGCGCTCCCGTCGAACGCGGCCCTGTACATGTCGACATCCGCCTCGGAATGGCTGAACATGGGCCTGATGAGCTTCGCGGTCGTGTCGAAACTGCCGAGGTCGATGTGGAAACAACCAACGTCGGAGACGGCCTCGATGGCCGTCTTGAACACGCCGAGGCTGCACTTCCCGTCGTCGCCCCTGATCGTGACCAAGTTCTCGATGTTGTCGCCGTCTGCAATGCATTTGGCCAACGTCTGGATGACGAACGGCTGGGTGGGCATGCGCAAGATGTTGAAGAGGAACTTGATGACCCCCACCCTGGCGTCACCTGCTGTCCTGGAAATGCGGCCGTCACGGATCTCGTAGCGGAGGCTGATGTAGGCAACGAAGTACACGCTCCATTCTGCCCTGCCATCTTCAGTCTGCAGGTGCGCCCTGAAAACGACGAGGGTCTTAGTCTCAGAGAAGAACAGCCTGTAGCACCCGTAACAGTCCTTGCACCACGGGCCGCGCCCGCTGGGGAAGTCCCAAGGCGTCTTCGCACCAGCGTTGAAGAAGCACTTCCCATCCCGAGTCCTGTTGCACCCAGGGCACGGCTGGTCATCACTGTCGGTGCCAGATTTGTCGGGAGACCCGCCATCGCCATCCGCGCCTAGCGTCATCATGTCTGACTGAGTGTCGGCCCCACCGTCGCAACCGCATTCGTCGGACATCCGCAAGCGCCTCCGCTTCGATCGACAGCTCGGGATGGCAGACGCCACATCCGACAATGATTGCTGACTGTCCTCGAACAAGGAGGTGAAGTCACGTGAAATGCTAGCGGCAGCAACCGAATCAACGCCAGAACAGTTGGACGCCGCGTCGAGCCCGCAACTGGTGCGACGCGGCGCCCGCTTCGGCCTCGCAGGCCAAGGCACTGCTGGCGGTGGCAAGCTCGCAGCGTCGTCCATCGCAGCGGGCTCGGACTCGTGGAGGCTCATTGCCTCTCAAGGCAAGTCGCGCAGCGCGGGAGCTGCGACGACGATGGCGTCCTGATCGCCTGGTCGCCAAAATGGCTCGAATCCGAAATGGTGGCGGGGGGGTGAGGAGGACGAGGAGGGTGACGGCCAGGTATCGAACTTCGGGCCCCCGAAAGGACCATAGGCCACCATAGCTTACAGGGGCCCCAATAAGGCCGCGTCAAAACGGCGAGCATGCACCCCAACGAATCCCCAAGACACCAAGGCTGCCAATGATGGCGCCCGCTGGACCCACAACCCAAGCACCACGCCAACTTACCCACAACCCAGGCCCGACAGTATCCAACGCAACCTTGGCCCGCACCCCGCACCCAAGGGACGGCGGCATACTTGGCAGAAGACAAACCTCTAGTTCGCAGCACCGCTTCGGATCAAGCTTGAGGGTCATGCCGAACCCTCTCACAACATCAAGCCGCCGACAGACCAATGGCGCAGGCACGGAGGCTGGCTGCTGTGGGGTCACCAATCGTGACATCACCCACGCCCCCCTGACACCTAATATCAAGCTGGCGCCGCGTGAAACATGCACTGGCTCACGCCGTTGCGTGATGCTGAAATGGCCCTGGGCCCAGAGTACCACCCCCCGCGCACTTTTCAACAGGCATCCCTTCACCCTTCCCCATCATCTCCTTCTCCTCCTCCGCACCATCATTCCTGACCTCCTCCACTCTTCATCCACCTCCTCCTCCTCCAGTCTGGTCGTCCTATATTTCTGCTCTGCAGACGTTTGGATCTCTGCGGCCCCGAGAACCATCAGACGGTCCGAATTTTCTGATGTGCAACGGCTCTGATCATGCTATCGGTAGTCTTTGCCATGGGCCTCTTGTCCACGCGGGACAATCAAGCCTAAAGGGGGTGAGGCAACGCAAGATCGCTGGGCGAAGACCCTGGGGGGGGAGGAGGAAGCCGACTCGGAGGAGGAGGGGGAGGGGATAACGAGGACACGCGGACGGCGGGAGGATGGAAGGCGAGGAAGGAGGTGGTGGAGGAGGAGGACTAGGAGGAGGGATGGCGAAGAAGAATGAGGGACACGAGGAGGATGAGGACGACGACGGAGGAGGACGAGGAGGACAAGCTGACAAATACGAAGGGTGAGGGTGGGAAGGAGGGCGACGACGAAGAATGAGGATGACGAATGACGATGGGAAGATGGAAGAGGATGAGGACCGATGGGAGGGGTGGCGACGAAGGCCACGACGATGGGGGGCCATCTCTGGGAATGGCCAACGCCGATTTTATATTACAACATGCTCCAGGCAAGCAGCGTGCTTTAAATGCGGGCTGCAAGCTTCATGGCCACACGACTGCGGCAAGAACGACGCCGCAAAGCTGGCGTCTGTCGCCAGTCACACGGATCAGGCGAGCAGGCTGATCAAACGGTACAGGCAAACAAGACTGAGCACACTGGGCTGACAAGAGCGTGCCTCACTGTGCACACACGGCAAACTCGGCAGACTGCGATGCTGCCATCTGTCACACTCGGCAATCTGAGATGCTGCCGCCTGGTCAATCAACCGTGACCTGGTTCTTGGCCTTGCCCGCCGCCGTGACGGCCTCGGTGCCGACGTCCTTCGTGGAGTCGAGGTCGCCGCTGGCACTGGCGGCGGTCTTGGTGTTGGCACGGGTGCGCGGCTTCTTAGCGGCTGAACTGGTCTGCTTGGCCGCCTTCATGGGGTTGGGTGTCTTGCTCTTGGCGGCGCTGTTGCCGTCCTGGCCCCGCTGCTCCTTCGGGATGCAAGCTGCTGGGTTTGGGGTGTGCTGGGAAGGCCTCGGCACCGAACGAACCGCGCTGTGCTTCTGGGTGCGCTTGCGTTCGAGTTCAGCCGCCTGTGGGCACACAGCCGCCACCATCTGGCAGATCTCGTGCAAGCCCTGCTGGATCTGCATGTCCCTCTTGCGCTGCTCGACCCGCTCCAAGAATTCCCTCCGCTGCTTCTCTTTTTTCTTGCGCTCTGTCTCCGTCCTGCCTCTCAAGCGTGTCGCCATGCGTTCCAGAGCATTGGCTGTGCGCCGCAGCTCGCTGTCTTTGCGCCTGAGCGCAGCACGACACTCTTTCTGTACAGCCTTCGGGTCGGGAGGCGCCATCGCCTTCGGCGCCATCGAAGAGCAAGAGCAAATCTGCGGCAGCGTGAAGAATTGAAACTGGAAGACACGGATCGAAAGCCGAAACGGAGACTCTGGGCCAAGGCGGCTACAGCGCAAGACACTCAACAGGAACTGGTTGGCGCGGCCATCCAAGGCCGAATAACAAGAGTGCCAAGTGGAGGGAGAAAGGGAGAAACGGGCAGAACGGATGAGGAGGACAAGGATGAGAGATGAGAGGAGGGAGAAAAGAGGAGGACATTGAAGAGATGGAAGAGGGAATAGGGATGACAAGGACAACGAGGAGGGAGGAGGAGAAGGAGGAGACGGCAAACGAAAGAACTGGACTCCTGGGAGCCCTTGGAGCTTTCAACCCCTTGAGCCCTGAAAGGCCATGGCCCCCCATGGGCCCATGTGGAACCTAGGGCCACGCGGACAGGGCCTGCGGGGTTCCGGGCTAGCCCAGAAACCTGCGGGCCCCGCACGAGAGGTCCTGAACGCCTGGTGGGGCGTCGGGTCCCTGAGCCGCGTTGGCCTCGCGGGGCCGTCGGGCACTTGGCGGCCAGTCGGCTTTAAGCTGGGGAACCCTGGGCCATTGGAGAACGCGCGGGGCCCTGGGAGGCCCTTGGCCCTCTGGAACCTGGAGCCTCCCAGGCAGGGCCTGCGGGGTTCGGGCTAACCCAGAAACCCGCGGGCACCGCCAGAGAGACCCTGAAAGCCTGGCGTGGCCCTGAGCACAATCTGGCCTCGACGGGCCGTCGGGTTTCTGTGTCGGGCCCAGCAGAACACCGCTGAAACCAGCGGGCCTCAGATAAAGAGGCCTTGTGGCGTTAGGCACGAACACGCTGGAACCTTATGCGAAACCCTGAAGCCATGCGCGGACATAGGCCCATAGTCACTGGGGGCTTCGCCCTGAGCGCGCGCACATACACTGAAACCCTAAGCCGCTGAACTCTACGGCAGCCCCGCTGATGCTCAATACGGCGACCATTCGCCACAATGGAGCACCCAAAGGTCGAACGCACATGGTTTAATCACACATGCCCTTAGATATAATATGGAATATATGCTGCACGTAGTAGTCGACTCTCAGGGGAAACGCGCATCGACGGCCAAGGGGGCACGGTGGTGGAGCAATCGGCAAACAAAAAACTGGCACCCTATACCCAAGCATATTTCACAACGGCGCATCACTGATAAACTAAATTTTTGTTTAAAAAAGCCATTGCGCCACTCTCGTTCAAAGCTGCATGGGCGGAAATGCGGAGGCGGCGGGGAGCAAGCGAGGTTGCGCGCGCGCGTGGCGCGGGGGAGTGGTTGGCGGGGGATGGGCAGTGTGCGCGGGTGCAATGGGGACATATTGGTGCGGTGCGGTTTGTTGTTGTTGGTGGTTGTCGTAGGCGCGGGCGGACAAGGCAAGTGCGCATGAACGGGGGTGGAGTAGGTGGGCGGCTGCATGGGGTGACGCGTGCGGGCGCAGCGGCGGGTAAACTTAGCAGCGCGTGTCCATGGTCGCGAACTAGAAACCAGCGGCGCGCGGCGCGCTGCACACTCATGCCACGGAACAAAGGCCATGCACGGCACCAAACGCACGCGCGAGCGCACCCATCCGAAACATGCATGGCCGACGGCCAACAACCAAACGCCCCACGTTGAACGCACCACGGGTAGCGCGTCGGGCGCGCGGTCCGGTTTTTCACGACGGTTCGACGAGCGCTTTGGCAGTATCATGCGTATTGCACTGCAAGCGTCACCAGGCAACGGCAGAGGGCACAACTATAGAGCTTGGGGTTGGTGCCGCCAAGGGCAACGCCACCAACATCCAGTCGAGCGCATCAGCTTCGCTACCGCAGCCCAGACGCTGGGCTGCGACTTGCGGGCGATGAATGGATATGAGCTGAAACCGCGGCCCGCGGGCTTCGTGCCCATGAAGTGGGCCGCGCGCGGTTCAGTGGTAAGAGCGAACCGCCCTCCGATGGTTGCACGAGGGCCGAGGCCCCGAACTAGTGCTCGCGCGCCATCGCCGCTGCATTCTCCAGTCCGCGCGCGCGACATTGCCCATGCGCGACCACAAACCGCCACCGCCGCTTGCAACTCCAACCTGCCACCACATCCGCCGCACTGCCTACCACATCTTTGGCCCCACCACCACAGCGCGCCCGACCGCAGCCATCGCCATCGCAGCCTGCCCAGTTCATACCCCATCACAAACAACTTACACATGCACGCGCGCGCGCCGCTCACCCGCCGATTCCCATCCACTCGCCACGGCCAAGTTCCTACCCACGGCCTATCGCCAACACCCCTCACCTTCCTCCTCGGCAAAACCCGCGCTCACCACTCCTTTAAACGCGCGCGCACCGCCCGCGGCTGCAACTCCCTGCAAACAGCCGCCACCATCCACCACGAACCAGCGCGCGACACGCGCGCAACCGCGCGCGCAACGCGCACCGCAACCCGCCGCCCCCCACCCACATGCGCGCCCGCCGTTGCCACCACACCCAAAACCTTCGCCCGCGCCCACTACGCCCACCTCCCATCCCTCCACACCCACCCCACCCACCACCAACACCCCGCCCGCCCACCCACCCTCACCAACCACTGCCGCCGCCGCCGCCGCGCGCCCGCCCGTGCCCCGCCACCGCGGCCGCCACCGCCACTTGCTGTCGCGCGCTTTGAGATGCGCGCCGCGAGATGTGCGTCAAGTCGCATGGCTCAGCGCATGCGGCGCGGAGTGCAGGGCGACAGCGTTGAGCCTTCTGTTACGGATGCACGGCGCGCGGCGTCTGCCGCAAACGCAACGCCGATGCCGCGAAAGGCGACATCGGCGGCCGAGGGCGCGCGTAGCGCGGCAGAGCGGCTTGCAAGGCATCCAGTCGACG